GTATATTCAAGTCTTCAAGGCTAGACAAAGAGTTCAACAACAACAATACCAGTCATCCTAATTGTCACGCCCCAGATCGCATCCGGGTCACGTAGACAACCGCCGTACAACCCGATAAGAACAACAACAGTTCATCCCTATTGAATTGTACAAGGCGTCCGATTGATTCTATTGCCAAACTGATTAGTAAAACACATACAATCAACATCAATATCATAATCAAACAAATGCGGAAAGAATAATACGTTTGATACTTAGCCACACGTGGCAAACACGGGCACGCAGGCCCCCAACTGTTTTAAAGAAAACATTGTTCGAAAATCCATGAGCAGTTTATAAATTTGAAATAAGAATGGAAGCACGAACCACGTCTTCCTTCTTGATCAATCACCCTAGGCAAAGGTGCAGGTAGTAGGACTCTAGCCTTAACCTGAAAAATGTGAGGGCCCCTGAAGGGGTCAGTACTCCATAGAAGTACTAGTGACAAGCAGGCTATATGAAGAATAACTAATGTTTCAGACACGAGACCCAAAAATAGGGTGATGCATATATGTAATTGTCACTCATCCGCCCGATGGTACATAATATATATATATATATATATATATATATATATATATATATTTGAAAAATACTCAACCCGTGGGCCCGTTTCCTTAAAAGTATTTTAGTGGTAAAGTTCTTACCTGACTTTTCTCACTCCTTTCCCGAATGCCTAGCTCACAAGCTACATTCTACATTCATAATATCCTACCGAGTTTTGGGAGCATTTAGCATCCCGGGGATACTCAACCCCAACCGAGTTTCAGGATCATTTACCGTTCCGGGAATACTCAATCCCAACCGAGTTTCAGGATCAGTTTCCGTCCCGGGGATACTCAACCCCAACCGAGTTTCAGGATCATTTACCGTCCCGGGGATACTTAACCCCAACCGAGTTTCAGGATCATTTACCGTCTCGGGGATACTCAACCCAAACTTATTCCTTACCAAACCCTAACCTGGATATGGCTAACATTTCATTCCTTTAACTATGGACAATACCTAGCCCTATAGTCATATAACAATCCTTAGGAACCAACGTGGGCGGGTCCCACCTGAACGGCCCACATTAACCTACTCAAAACTGCCCGTTTTGAGCATAACCCAATACTCGATCGAGTACCCACCTATACTCGGTCGAGTACAGGAGACAGTAGCGCGTAAGGCCAATTTTGGTGTATACTCGATCGAGTACCTACCCATATTCGATCGAGTGAAGAAGACAGTAGCCCCTGGGCAAATTTTCAGCAAATACCCGGTCAGGTATTTGCCAATACTCAGTCGGGTATAACAGCTGACTTGGCGGTCAACGCCCGTTTGACCGCCCAAACGGAGTCCGATTAACGTGGAATTTTACATGCAAGTACTCTTTGACGTCCTTAATCCAAAATACCTATTTGGGTCCTTGGAACATCTTACATATCAATTTATGGTAATTTCACCAATCAAACCTATAAATCATGCTTTCTAACTATGTTATATTCTTTAACATGGCATAACACATACTTTAATACCATTAATCAATCCATAAAACATATTCTTGATTAATTTAGGTAATCTCATGCCTCACTCAAAAGTTATAAAGCATAAAGCCGTCTTCTCACCTTAAATGAAGCTTATGAAGTTCTAGCCTCCCTTACTGAGCTCCGGCGAAACTTCGGCGAACTTCAACGAACTCCGGCGACAATTCCGGCGACCCTTTCAACTCCGTGAAAGTTCCTTGAATACCTTAGACAAGTTACTAACAAGGTTTTATCATCATAAAACCCATATTAATACAAATAACCTCAAAAAGGTTATTTTCCGGCGAACCGATCACTTTGGCTTCTAAGTCCGTTCTTAGACTTAGAACTACCTTCCAACCCCTCATTCTACACCTCTAAACATGTAGAACAATTCTAGGGGTCCTTCATATGATATATGAGTCGTAAGGTAGATAAGTAGTTAAGGAAAAGTTGTTATAAGGTTATTACCATAATTCTTCACACTTTTCCTAGCTTTTCCCCTCTTTAATCCTCCTTACACTTCCTTCTTGGACCTCCTTGTGATGAGCTCGGAATAGTTATGGTGGAAGGTGGTTTGCAGATGTTTCTTCACTTGTTTGAAGGGGGTGGGCCGAAATGATGGAGTAAAATGATAGGGAGGTGTACTTTTGGGTCATTTGACCAAATCATATGGCCAAGGACATCCAAGACCCTACACCCATGTTCCTCCTTATTTCCTTGGCACACCCGCACAACCATGAGTCAATCAATGGTTGTTTGATTGACAAATTCGTGGGGTGGCCCCCACCCATGTGGGAGGTCATCCATTTATGTCCCAAAGTGTACAATCGTCTCCGAAAGTTATATTTTCCGGACTGTTTTAACTATATTTTATTTTATCGGGTCAAATAAAATATAACACTTGTCCCCAATCCTTATTGGACCTTAGAATGAATATGCATTCCCCAACTTTAATTTAGAAGTCTCCGAAATCCCTTTTTGGGCTGTTATGTGATAAATTGCCGATACCGATAATTTGGCCCCGTTTGACCAACCGGGCAACCGTATGCCATTGCCACGACCCAATTAGGATATCCACCACCATATACATATTATCTAAGTCCCGACAGTACCGGGCGGCCCCCCTCTTCCAGTGTGGGCCCCACGTGAATTTTACTATTCACGTAAAAGAAATGATAAAAATTTACAATCACACAAAAATGCTTTTATTCATTTCTCCGGGTTCAATACATAATTTGATAAAGTACAAATAATTGGGGGCGGTGTTACACTAATAGATGCTTCTTGTTGTCTGTTAATGTTCTTTTAGATATTTGAAAGGAAATATGTGGTTCAGAACAATAATTTATTTTACATGGAAAACCGTTTTTGATATTTTCCTTAAATTAAAATGTGGAATTTGTTATGTATATCTCTTACCCGTCTAAATTAATATGAGGGTGAATGTGTTGTGTAACAAAAAATAAAATCAACGAGGTAAACCGTTGTCTAGATAATCAACGATAAAAATACCGTTGCCCAGAACCAAAAGGCTAAAACCAATTTTATTCCAAGATAATAAGAATGAACCATGGTGAGGGTTATAAATAGCCTTCTACAGGAAACCCTAATCAAGCCCAAATTAATTAAATCCTAATTAGGCCCATACTAACTCTATTAATAAAAGCCCAAACTAAAACATAACATTAACTTAATAATAATAAATAAACTATAAAGACAGCCTGTAACCGGCCCACGGAAATGGGCCCAAGCCCGGTCCCGCCCCATGCTCTTCCCGCTACCTATCAATCCATCCTCCTTCAAATTAACCTTGTCCTCAAGGTTGAAATCTCACGGATCGGGGAACTGAAATTTCTAGCCATAGAATAGACCAAAAAATATTCTTCATCTCCTTCCCGAACCTTTTCCTGGCCGGTTATTTTACAGTACTCATGCTGTTGGAGGTCCAACTCATCATCCTTCTCAGCTATCATTACCCGCAACTGCTTAAATGACAGTCATGCCCTGGTGTAAATGGCTTCTTACACCTAAAGCATAATCATTTCGCCCTCAATTCTGCGAACTCCTTTGGCGGAAGACGAGTGAACTGAGAGCGTGTCGTAGGCTGCCCGGACAGCCTTGACTTCGTCCCCGGAGGCTCCCAATGTCTTTAGGAAAGCTTTCATTTGACCCTCTTAAGCTGTCACCACTTATGGTCGTGCTGTTACTACCACTTGGGCGCGAAAAACTGCCCGAACGCAAGTCCGTGTTGTAGGGTTAACTTACCCAGTCTCCATCTTGAAAAGGACAAGTTGTCCTCAATATCTCTGGCCAAATCCATTGCAATCTCCAAGCTGTTTGGTCGCAGCAATCGTAAGGATCCCCGAATCGGTCCCTTCAACCCGTTCATGAAATACCCCAAATAATGATCATCGGACATCCCAGGAACCTGAATGGCCAACTGCACAAAAAGGTTATTGTATTCTTCTATGGTTCCCAATTGTTTGGCCCCGGACAGTCGTTCAAATCGTTTGCTCTTGAACCGTGAATCAAAACGGGCCACCAGTGCATCTGTGAATTCCTCCCAAGTCAGGCCCTTCCATTGAAAGCGTTTAAAATCTCGTTGGAAAGATTTTATCGAGTTTTAAAACTTGTCTTCAAGTGCCGGTTTAAAAATATCAAGGGATGATTGCATAATTACTAAAACAAGACTGTATTTACGCTAAAAGTGCTCTATTTACGCTGAAAACGCTAAAGGCCCAAACCAAAACATAACATTAACTTAATAATAATAAATAAACTATAAAGACAGCCCGTAACCGGCCCACGGAAGTGGGCCCAAGCCCGGTCCCGCCCCATGCTCTTCCCGCTACCTATCAGAATGCGGAAAGAAATCAAACAAATAAATGACCTGATGTTATGCATAATGACATATACCATTACTATCATATTAGGAAAAAACGTACTACTCATAAATTGGGAAACACAAGAGCTTTTGACATGAGAGGTAATGTAATTATCTCTTAACTCAAATCTTAATTTAACATCATACCCTGTGCATAGAGGTTAAGAAATAGAGGGCAAAGACATGACTATATAGATTTTATTACTATTTAGTTTACATGCCTTTTTTGTTTGTAGAATGTGAAATACACTTGGGGTGTTTGGAAATTAAAACTTACGCATTTCTTGATAGCATATTGTGTCGTCTGATTCATAATAATAATTTGTGTTAGACGTTATGACTAGTATTATGAAAAATACTATTAAAAGTGTTTTATTTTTTATTTTTGGCTTAATGGCAACAAAAGGCAAATAAAAAAGTTAACACTCTGAAGTATGAATTACTGTTTCGCCATATTATCTAAAAGTCAAAAAATTGTTGCTATGCCAATGACCAAATGATGGAGCAACGCTGGAGATTTAGATGAGCCACCATTATTGTGGCAGAACCTCAAAGATTCCAAGCGTGTAGAGGCAATGAAATACAGGGTAACAAATGTAATAGACTGACACTCATCATGACAAGGAGGATAAGCGTTCACCATCCATACATGCTGATGTTAGTAAATAGTAATATTCCTAAACAGCCTAACAAAGTACCAATGTGTGTGTACATATATATCACATACAGTAAAACAATTGTGACATCGTTGTTCATCAATTAATGACAGTCTGCCATCATTCGACGGAGCCAAAACATAAATTCTCCGTATATATTATTACTGTTATTGTGAAATACTCCGTATTAGATTAGATAAATACACAGTGGCAACTCTGAATCTCTGCTGCTGTGAAAATTAAGACGTTGAGGATGCAATGTGTAGTGCTTGGCCCTGTGTGAACCGTTGTAGTTGTATCATGCGTGCATAAATGCCATCAGGGCAGTGTTTCAAGAGATGGGAGTGAGAGCCCTGCTCTGCTACTTTCCCATCGTCTATCACTGCAATCACATGGGCATTCATGATTGTGGACAACCTGTGCGCGACCACAATCGTCGTCTTCCCCACACATGTCCGCTCCAGTGCTTCCTGCACGCACTTCTCCGACTCTGCATCCAGCGCGCTCGTCGCTTCGTCCAATAGCATCACGTCTCCTTTCCTCAAGAATGCTCGTGCGATTGCGATCCTCTGCTTCTGCCCTCCCGACAGCTGGGCCCCTCTTTCCCCCACATATGTCTTGTACCCGTCTGGCAACGCCGATATGAAACCGTGAGCGTTCGCTGATGTGGCAGCCTCAACGACCTCTGCTTCAGTTGCCGATTCGTGTCCGTATGCGATGTTTTCATATATCGTTGAGGCAAAGAGGCAAGGTTCTTGTGGGACAACGGAGATGTGGCGTCGCAAAGACATCAGGTTGTATTTCCTGATGTCTTTTCCATCGATCAAGACGTGTCCGGACGTCGGCTCATAGAACCTCTCCACAAGGGAGATCACGGAGCTTTTCCCACAACCACTGGGCCCCACAAGAGCCAAAGTTTTGCCTGCTCGGGCACGGAGACTTAAGTCCTTGAATATGAGGATGTCAGGCCGGGAGGGGTATGAGAAGTCAACGTGCTTCAATTCAACCTCACCACGGAGTTTGTCAACGACAGGGGCCGCATCTGGGTCATCAGGCTCAATTTCTGTTTTTCGGTCAAGCAGGTCAAAAACTGACCTCATTGCCCGACCGCCTTTACTGAACTCAGGGGCCAGGGTCAGTGTCTCAGCTGCCCCATTCGCAGATATCATGAGGACTATGAAAACGCGGATTGTCTGGGAGAAATCGGAGATTCGATGCTTCACAAGCCAGGAGGCATACCATAAACCCAGGGCATAGGAAGCATAGAGCAAGAACTGGGCTACTCCGAATCCGATGCCAGCAATTTGTCCTTTCCAAAAGCATCGCCTGAGTGGATTCTGGAGGTTGGTAGTGTAAAGACTGACAATTTTCGACTCCGAGTTAAATGCAGCAACCGTTCTCACATTGGCAACAGCTTCTCCAGCTAGCTGTGTCCCTTTGGCATGAGCTGCTTCCAAATCACCAGAGAATCCTTGTATGAACATTTTCTGTGGAATGGAATTGGAGAAATTAGAGAAGATAGTAAATAATGCCATTAAAACTTGGTTTGTGTATCTTCACATTTGACCGGTGCGAGGTGACTTAACATGTCTTGCAAGATGGTGGCTCATCTGAGCAAACCGATCCTGAATTTTGCACGCTCTTTTCTGAATCTTTGTTGGATCAATTATTCGTTTGAGCTTCATTGATTCTCTTACCATTTTAAAAGTTGGGGTTCAACCTAAAAGGACAACATGTAGCCTGCTTTTGGAATCCACATGCTCTTTTTTAGTCTTAGTAGATCAATTGCTTATATGAGCTTAATTGACTCTCTTACTAAATTAAGATTTGGAGTTCTATTTCAAAAGCTCATCCTGATAGAAAGGGCAATTCAAAGCCTTATTATGGCCGGTTTAACAAATGCTTACTTTGTATAGGACAACACATTTGAACATGAACAAGCAGAAGCAGACTAGAGAGTGCGGCTCCATAACTAACCTGCAGCACCGTTGCAGCAACAACCACAGGGAAAACACCCACTAATACAAGGGATAGGCGCCATTGCAACACAAAGCCTGCAGTGAATGCAACTAGCATAAGAGCTAAGTTCTGCATAACTACTGAGATTCGGTCCCCAATGGCTGATCTAACATTGTTTGCATCAAGGGAAAGCCTTGCTGCAACCATAGAACTCTCGTTTTCCTCCTGGTCAAACCATGCCAATTCGTTTTTAAGCACTGCCGTCAGCATTTTCTCCCTTACTCTTTTCGTCAAGTTCTCTCCCACAATATTCCAGAACAGATGTTGTATTGTATTGAAAATAAGAGCAGCAGATGAGACGCCAATTAAGAGGTAACAATACTTGGCTATTTCTCTACTCATGTAATCATAGTCTGGGTTGTAGTAGATGCTAAGAACAGCACTCAGGACATAGGCAAAGAGTGCACTGAGGGAACCAGAGATGATAGAGCCTATGGAACCGATGACTGCATAACCCCACTCCGGAGAGTTCATTTTGGCAAGCCGCCAGAAGGAATTTGCTTGATCCTTGAATGCAAGTTTCTCCTGTCGATACCCACCATCCAATGAGAAGCTTAAGTCAGAAGTTGAGAAGTCGGACAACTGGCGAGAATATGGTGATTTCCCATAGGAAGAGTTTCTTGTCATTATTGGAGAGCTCACAGAGTTTCTGGCACTGGATGGCCTGCAAGCAATGACATCACACTTGTTTTAGTCTAAATCTTGTTACACACGAGCTTTAATAAAAATTAAAAGATTAACATAATATGTGATGGCATAACATTTCCAGAACATTTTAATTTTTTTCAAAAAACATTATATTTATCAAGATATAGACTAAATCCACCAAAACCTCCCATTCAAAAGACTTCACCCAAGAGAACCTAAGGGACTTTTTGGATGAGGGTTTTTGGAGGGGAAGGCTTCATCTACATCTACTCCTTTTGTGTCACAATTTTCTTCCCACCTTGACTTGGCACACTTATTAAGGAGGTGACATGGATGTGATTGATGCCAAAAAGGAGAAACAATGTCAACAACACCAATTGTTTTATAATAGTTTTATATTCAAAAACAAAATTGGGAAGAAAATTTTATTATTTTTTGGAAACTGTCAATTTATCAGACATAGAATAAGCCCTCAAATGAAGTATACCTTGCACTACTCTTTCTGGAGTTATTCATAATTGTTTCATGAGCGGTTTCTTGTATTTTGATGAGCTTGGCATACACACCATTTTCTCCTTTGTGAATGAGCTCATCATGGGTTCCCATTTCAGACACACAACCTTGCTGTAGAACCACCACAAGGTCAGCTTTACGGATGGTGGATAGCCGATGTGCAATGACAAGTGTTGTCCTTCCCATCATGAACCTGTCTAGAGCCTCTTGCACTAGCTTTTCTGACTCAGAGTCTAATGCACTTGTTGCCTCATCCAAGAGAAGGATCACCGGGTTCCTAAGCATTGCCCTTGCTATAGCTATTCTCTGTTTTTGCCCACCTGATAACTGTAATCCTCTCTCTCCTACCTGCCATTTTTATTTACCACTCTCATGTCACAGCATTTCACAGTGTTGTAACATATTTTCAGGAGAAAAAGAACAAATGTAAGTTGTATCCATCCCTTTCATGTAGTTAGCCATTGTAAACCTGTTTATATACCTAAGGGATGGGCAAATCCAAAGTTTCCAATCCAAATAAACCGCTAAAAACTAACTAAAAATATACCTGGATTTTAGTGAGGCTTCCCTTTTTGACATTATCAATAAAATGATAAATTGTGGAGTGTCAAACATAAAATAAAAGTTACAACTTACAAGGTCCCCAAGGCCTCTTTTTTAAGCCCCCTTGAATCTCATGTTATAACTTAACGAAGTGGTTATCTTGTATGATAATGACAGCCCCAACACTCTTCACTTTATATTGATTCTGCATTTCTTTTCAACTAAAGGAATCTTTACTTTATCCTTCAAATTTGAGTCTCTATCTTCACATCAATAAGTAAAACATCCCATTTAAGCACTTACCTTGTTGATAGATACCATGTTTCCCTTTTAGCATATGCATGGAAAGATATATTTGAGCATTGACTTGATAGATGATAGCTTAGTAATAATTGTCATCATCTGCAACTCAATTCCAACTGTGTTGGGGTTGGTGGCATGAAATGTATACTCTCAATCAATTCTCCAAATAAGTTAACACTATAACCTCACATAAACGTGTAATGATATCAAGTCCAATACCACATTCTTGTCACAGCCTTCTTAAGAAGGAATTTTGAGATAATAAATTTTAATGATGATTATAAATAATAAAAATAAAATTGAAGTTCATCTTGTGTATTGACTAAACCGGCCACGCAGTTGGGTTCCTATTTTGACTCATAGAACGGCCAGTGGAGGTTTACCTGGTCCTTAACTTCAACTCCCCTAGGATCAGTAGTAGACCAAAATGGTTCAGGCACCCATAATAATTATTTAAAAAAAGCCACTTAGTTGTTAACGAAAATAAGAAACCCCATATATCTAAACAATTAATGGCCTTATCACATGCATAAAAAAGGATGCACTAGAGATTTGAAATTTCCTAAATAGTTAAGTGGCATGAAATATATACATTATAGTATTAATTAATTAATAGTTCCTCTAATACAACCAGATTTTAGTGTGGTCCAGGCAGCACCACATATACTTGGTTAGCAACAAATTCTTTATTGATTTTAGGTGTTCCATTATAAGAAAGTCTATCCAGAAGAGAGAATGGGGGACCAATATTTGGTACTACAGTTAATACCATTACGAAATGTAAGAGAGACTATTGATCTAAGGTAACAAATCAAATGTTTACATATATTCTTGGTTGGTAAATTGATTTCCTGTTTACACCCTTCAGATTTAGCATCATCAAACCACACATTGACTAATTGCAGTTAAACCAAAATATAAAAATAAGCACTTTATATTCACTAACCTGAGTATCGAAGCCATCAGGAAGCTTGGTTATGAAAGAATGGGCATTAGCAACTCGGGCAGCCGATTCCACCTCAGCATCACTAGCACCAGGCCTACCCATTAATATGTTTTCTTTGATGGTGGTGGCAAATAGTGCTGGCTCTTGGCTTACAAGCCCAATTTGTTGTCTCAACCATCTCAGCTTTATCATCTTCAAATCATGCCCATCCAGTAGAACTTGTCCTGCACAGCAACGCTATGAATTACTCCCTACTCCCAATTTAATTGGCATTATAGAAATGTGCACACACATTAAGAAAATATTACAAAATGGCATTTATATCCCTACAAAAGTTCAACTTTATATTCTTCGTATACATTTTAAGGCAAAATAGCATCTTGTATATGAAAAAAAATCGATGAGGTAAATTCCAAGAATGACTATTGAATTTGAAAATGACATGACAATACTTTGGGGAAGGAGGGAGTAACAAACACGCGTTCTCTTTGCAACACTTCTCTTACGTTTTGTATGTTGATTATATTGGTACCTGAGGTGGGATCATAGAACCTCTCAATGAGAGATACTACAGTGCTTTTTCCAGAACCGCTGCTTCCAACCAAAGCCACCGTCTTCCCGGCAGGAATAGTAAGACATAGATTGTTCAGAATTTGAATATCTGGCCTTGAAGGGTAGGAGAAATCCACATTCTTCAGCTCCAATTGTCCAGTAATAGATTCCAATTCCAAACCTGTTTCATTGTTTTTCTCAACACCCGGCTTGTGATCTATTATGCTGAAAATTCTTTCTGCTGCCGCTTTAGCATTTGTAAATGCTGTGATACTTGGGTGAGATTGAGCTAATCCTCTGATAATCAAGGAATTCCTTTTTCAGCTAAACAGAAAAATCTGAAGAGCATAGAATTTGAGTAGAGGACTAGAGAATCATTATTATTATTGACACTTACATTCCACCAATCATTACAGCAAAAGTTGTGGATATTGCAAGTCCTCCGTTTGTTAAATGGTGCCTAACCAAGTAGCCTCCATACCACAGTAAAAGTGCGAAACAGCAGAAAACCGCAAAGTATGTAGCTCCGGGTAGCAGACCTTTGGAAAACCCAATCTTGTACCCAATCTTCTGAGCCTTTTTCAGAGCTGCTGAGTATGAATTTAATGCCCTTGACTCCCCAACGAATGCCAGCACCGTTCTGATTTGACTTACTGTCTGTCATTTTCGCACAAATTCAGCAGACCTCAAACTATGGAGTATAAAATAAAGGGCAATGATACGGGTAGGAGAGATGATCAAGGAGTGGTCGAGAGAAGGGTAAAATCATCCCCAACTTTATCCTCATCATCACTTGCTCACATCATTCAACTATTTCCTAACCCTTCCCTAATCCACTGCTTACATATACCATTATACTAAAATAAATGAAAATCAATTCTGCCAGAACTCACCTGTTCAACGGTGTTGCCAGCTTCAGACATGGCTACTTGGCTCTCTTTAGAGAGGTTCCCGGATTTCATAGAACAAACTGCGGCAACCACAACTATGACAGGAACTACGGCTAGAGTGGCCAAAGCTAATTGCCACACAGCTGTGAACCCAACCGCAAAACCAGACACGAATGTTGCCATATAATGAATGAAATTCCCCAACTGCAGAGAAATTATATGCATAACACATGTGGCTCTTTAGAACAGATCAATATTGAAACATGTATGCTATTTTGGGTCTCACTCAGATCGAGATGAGTTAATGCTCACCTTCTCACTAATAGCTTCTTGGACGGTGACGGCATCTGCGTTGATGGCATTAACAACATCAGACGTCCTGACCTCAGTATCAAAATATTGAATGTCCTGGTTCAGGGCAGCCTCTAAGTACACTATCCTCATTTTGGTGGATTGTCTCTCTCCGGTCCACATCCAACATGAAATTTCTGAAACCAAGCACAAAGTATATGTGTGTATACATACATATATATGTGCAGATATATATATATATATCATATCATATTCGAAGCAGAGTAAAACATACCTGCCCAAGAAGATGCCCAGGTTGCAGCTCCAACTACGAGAAAGTAGAATGCATACTGAAAAACGAACGCAAAAGAATCAAAGATAGCTACTTTATAAGATAATAAAGTGCGAGGGAAGAAGATGGAGAAGAGAGTTTGGGAGGGAATCTGGATTACCTTCAAAACTTCTTGGGTCATTTTATCAACATCGTTGGCGTAAGAGCCAAAGGAATTAACTAGATCAGCAAAGAACCTAAGGAACAGAGGCAGTGAGAGGCCATGAACAAAGGCACCCACGCTTCCAATTCCCATGAGAACATAGTCCAGGCCATCCGCAAATCTGAAGAGCCGAGTGAAGGCGACAGTGCGAGGCTTCTCTCCCTTTTCAGAGCTCTCCATTCTTCTTCGGTTCTTCCTCAGCTCTCTCAGTAGTAGTAGCTAGCAGGACATAATAAATAGTACTATCTGCTTTCAGGAGGGATGGATTTAAATGGATCTCATCAACTTGCTTTCTGCCTCTCTTAATAGTATTGGCACCGCTCACAGAGCACCATTACCTGCTGCTGCTTGCATGTCAAACCATTTCCTGCCTGCAGCCTCCTTAGTCTTCCTTTCCACACTGTTCCCTCAGATCGCTTTCCAAATTTTCTAAGCCCAATGCACCTGTTTTTCCACAAGCTGTCGCTTCACTTTTTAAATTCTTCTCTCTACCTTTGGGTTTTTACAAATATAGAGTCTCAACCTCTAACTTTGTCAAATACGGTTACTATTATAGCATTACTCCTTCGTCCCGAATTAATTGTTTATTTGCTTTTTCACCAGTTTTAAGAAAGTGGTTGAAAAAGTAAAAATTATGGTTAAGATTTGAGCAGAAAAAGGTGAATTGATATGAGACATTCATTATTGTCAAAAGAAGACAATTATTTTAGGACGGACCGAAAAGGAAAGCAAGACATTTATTTAGGGACGGAGGGAGTACATTTTATTAAAGTTGATGCTGCAAACTTGGATCCAAAGGAGACTGATTTGGTAAGACTGAACATGCCGCTAAATATGTAGAATTATGAAAAAAATGATTAATAAAATAAATAAATTTTTATATGAAAAAACAGTTAAACATAATTGTATAAGTTGAAAAACACTACCTTGTTTTTATATGTATATAAAAGATTCTCCCGATTGGATTTTAATCTGAAATTAGGTGAGTATGATCTAAATTCATGAAAAACATTCTCACAAAATTTCATCAAAAAATTCGACCGAGAACAACTTCAAACGACAAGTTCCGCACAAAGGTTTCGGTCAAGCTTGTTTGAGTAGCTTTCGGCTCGATTTTTATTATCTCCGCACAATTGCAATTTTAAATTCGATCGAGAAGTCGGTTAAATAAATTATTGAAACATATTGTGCTTTATTTATTTGACTTTCTGATCTATTTTTTTAAACTAAAATTTTGTGGAGATATTTTACGATTGATGAATAACATGCTCAATAAATATCATTACAAATCTCCACCGAGAAGTGCCCCAGATGGCCTTGGTTAGCGGCTGTGAGGCCGGCCTGACTCGATCATTCCTTTATATACACATACGATACATACATACATACATACATACATATATAGATACATGATATTATACATATAGGCTTGTATGGTTTGGGGTAATCTCTCATGAATGATGGAATGCAATGCAAGGAATGTCATATACCCATGTTTGGTTCACGGGTTTGAAAAAAATCGAAAAAGTTACATTCCTGGGAATGTAATATGGAGGGGAATCTTATACCCATCCATGCCTTAGGTTATCTTACATTCACGGGGATGGTCTAATTATCTCTTTTCAATCAATTTTTTTATATAGTGCGATTTTATAAAGCTTTTAATTAAGTTTCTAAATATGTAAATTTTATTTACTAAATAACAATCTTATTATTGAAAGAGATCAATAAATTTTATGGTCAGTCGATCGTAGATTGTGTGACAGCCTTTTAAGTGGGACAGATAGAGTATGTTTGTTTAATTATATTCGAATGTCTATTCTTGTTATTTATATAATTCTTTTTTCCTTAACATTTAAATTTTTTAAGGTATTTATTTTATAAGACTTATAGATTATTTAAGTTTTTGATGAGTGGATTTCAAAATTTAATGGCAAAATTGATCATTTTTTCTTTAATTTGAAAAGAAGTTTTATGAATAACTTGAACATTTTTAAATTTGATTTTTTTTGAAATAACAATAAATATATTTAGATTATTGTTTGAACAAAGTTTTTTTCACTTTTGAATTGGATCTACAACTTTTTACAATTAAACGTAATTTACTTAAAAATAATTCAATTAGGTTTGATTTTATTTATTATTAAGATATTTCATTTTTTCTTTAATTTTAATTACTTTAGATGTAGGTTGTAATAGATTTATTGTGTTATTTCAAACACAAATGAGAATAAATTGGATACACTCCCATCAATCTAACATACCCGGCAATCTGACATTCCCGTGGTAATCTGACATTCTCTGATATCTTTCTATTATGTATAAAATATTAAAAAATTTGTATCAGTGTGAATTTCCAATATATTAACTTTTTTTAATGTTTAATAATAGGTAAATAAATATAATTACAGTCAAAGTTGTGCATTGGCAAACGTGAAAGTCAAAATATTGCAAATTTTATGGAACGGATGATAGTATATCAATAAAAAAAAATCAAAATATATTCAAATAACTTGATTTTAGAATGAGAACATTTAAGTGGGATATTCATAAATAATCATATACTACTCCTTATTACGTATATGGGGACAATTTCACTTAAGGCTCATCAACCCTACAGGCCTACAATCCATCCTCATCATTCACACACGCACACCTACTCTTGATGTGTGCAATGCCCACATTTTTTAAAAAACCATTATCAAAAAACCGTGTTTAAGAACGGTGTTTAAGGCTAAACGCAATTCTACTCACTTTTTATTTGTGATTCAAATTCTGCTCAGCTTTTTTGAAGGAAAAAACTTACTCCGTATATTAGAATCAAACGAGCCAAGACAACATCTATATCAAAAGTCCAAACAATACCAAAAGTCCATCAAGATTAATCGCTAAAACAATGAAAGCAAAGAGGCTATTAACGGCTATGTCAGTCTGATTGGCTCCATCAAGAAAGACCTCTATTAAAAAGGCTCTTAGCTTTTTCAAAGCTAAATGGACAGAAAGTTGTTTTTAAGCGGATAAGCCTTAGGTTGTGTTTGCAAATGTTTGTGCTTCTCAAAAGTGATTTTTTAAGAGATTATTGGAAAAATGTTTTATAGTAAAGTAGGTAGTGTTTGAAAATAGAAGTGATTTTAATCAAAATGTAAAAGTTGAAGTTTTTGGGAAAAAGTGATATTTAAGATACTATATTATTAAAAGACAAAAATATCCTTGTGAATACAATTATTTGCACCCTCCTATTTCTCTCGTTGATTGGAAGGCAGAGAAAGCGTATTTGCCGTCACTGGTCTTGTGCCTTTGCAGGGGAATTGTATTCCGGTGCCAACTGTATTGAAGTCATCAGTGGCGCCGGTAGATTCGGCGGGTGGCCCGATCGCCCTTGGTTCAGCGGTTGCCTCCACTCACATACACACACATATATATTCAAAATATCAGTAAATTAATTAGCCCATACTTCAATATGTATATATGTGAAAAAAGTCATGCGGCAAAACTTTGACGATGCGACCATGGTTGGAGAAGGAAGAGGAATACATTGTTTGCCATGGTTGGAGTCTTGGAGAAGAAAGAGAACCGATGACTGATGCAGCAGAGGGATTCGGCGGATTGAGGGGCATTTTTTTTTTAAATCTTTAGCCTAATAACTATTCCTAAAGTTGCAAATATTTACTAAAAATCCTAGAAGTAAATAAAGCATCTACCGCTGAACGTAGCTTAACTGGTAGCGAGGGAGTGCAACAAGGGTTAGGTCCCGGGTTCAAATCCCGGCAACTACGATGAGAGGTTACTATGCTAAAATATGCATAGAGCATCTGCAAGTACCAGAGACAGAGCCCTACTCTCTATATGTCAGATTGAGATTATAGTCCAATTTACATCCTCCTAACGTATCGTTCGGTCGGGGTTGGGGGCCCTCAGGGATGGAGTGTCATCATTTTTTGTGGCTGCTTTCAGCTTTTGGCTTAAAGTTGCTTAAATGTAAGCTGAAATGTGCATTTGGAAACACCCGTTTTGGCTTTTTTTTAACAAAAAAGCTGAGAAGTGCATCCTAGAAGCATTTGCAAACCAACAATGATTGATCTACTCACTCTTATACCCAGCTTATACCTATCATGTTTGTGAAGTTTTTTTTTTTGTTTGCGAACCCGGTTCACAGACAATATTTTGTTTGTGCAAAATATTGTCTGTGAATCGATGTTCACAGACAAAAAAAACTTTCACAAACATGGGAGTGTACAAAAGTGGGTATAAGAGTGGGTACAAACATCATTTTTGTTTGTAAACATAGTCTAAAGCTTTGTTTGCAAGCCATACTAACAAGCGTTTTTCAACTTTTTAAAGTGATTTTGAAAAGTATTTAAAATCAAAAATTGGTAGTGTTTGAGAAAAAAATGATTTTGAAAATTTAATGTTGGTAGTGTTTGGTAAAATAAGCGTTCTTTGTGTAATAGAATAAATAAAAAGAAGATTCCGGCTTTTAGGTTTTAAGTATTAATTTAAGTAGAAATTGTCAATTGAAAACAATCTTTTTAATTTTTTTAAGCCAAAAGTTGAAAACTGTTTTGTTACGCGTTTGCAAAGGGTGCCTAAATAGAGCAATTCTATAAGCAATAGCATGACTAAATAAAAAGTTGGCAAATTCATTTTGTACACGCCAAGTTTTATACGCCGAGTTACACGTCTGTCAAATTGTCTGTGTATAGACAATTTGATCGACTACACAGATATATTGAGCGGCGATTTACGGAAAAAAAAACCGCTTTTCACACAGACAAAAATAAAAAAATCTTTATATCACAAACACTTTATGAAAAATTCAGGTTTAAAATGTCTGTGATACAGACAACTCTTGATATTTTGTCTGTATGGAAATCGATTTTCTTCATAAAACGACGGTCAAATTGTCTGTCTAGTTGATCGAATTATTATCTTTATACAGACAATTTGACCGACGTGTAACCCGACGTGTACACGAAGTGGGACTCTAAAAAGTTTTACACAAGCAAACATTAAAAAGTTGTGATCAAATTACAATTCTATAAAATTAAGGCTATAACTTGTACCGGGCCCAGTCCCATCATGGTTGTCTCGGTCCTTTTCGCCGGTACATATTTGGCTTTCGATATTTTATTTTGTTGTCAGTCAGTCAGTTGACAATGGTTGTTTGATTGTTGACTAAGATCTCACGCATGCTTTTTTCAATCATTTCAATGGTTTTTTTTATTACGTACGGAGTATGAAAATTGACTAAGATACCACTCTCCAATAAAATTGAGTTTTTTCCGTATTAAACCTAATTAATTAAATAATTACAAAAATATAGTTGATTTAAAAGTATTTACGGATATACTACTGAGGTTAACTCTGGTCGGGGTAAGTCGTCAAACCGTTTGACGACTTATAAATCGTCCAATCGGATGACAACTTACCCTTAAATTGAAACGCCGTGTCAAACTCCTTCACTGAGAGAAGGAAAACCCCCCTTCCCAAACACTCTGCAGCGCTGCGAGCAGGGGCGGATCCA